CGCTGTCGTCTGAGAATTTTTCTCAGTAACTCCGATGACTTTCATAACTTGCACAAGACGAATGTGTTTACTTGAAATCTGCAAATTCCTCGTCTGATAATCAAACTTGAAAACAGAGCGGAGAGATTTTGGGTTTCCTCAGGGCTGATCAGTCTTGGCAGCTGCTTAACACTTCATCCATCCAGTTGGATCTAGAACTTCTCTTGTAGTCCACTAAGCAAGGTACCTCATGTGTCCTTCACCCCAACCACATCATCCAGCTCTTTCCGGAGCAATTAGAACCATCCACCTCCTAGACAGGATATATAATCCCTCCAGTGTGTTCTGGTTCTCCTCAAGGGTTTCCACTCAGTTGGACACCTCCACAGAGGTTCAGATCCCTGATCCAACTAAGCTGACTTCTTTCAAAAAGGATGTCCGAATTCCTCACCATGTTTCCAAGGGTAGAGCCAACCACTCTGCAAAGACGACTCATTTCAGCTGCTTCATTCTTTCCACCCAGTGAGAACCCAGTTATTCATGTTGTTCTTCACAACAACACAGAACCTGATGGTGCTCGGTCCACTTGTTAGCACCAGGCTCAGTTGAACCCAACAGAATCATGCCAAGTATTGACACCGGTAGGTACTCTGGACTTTTAAAGCCTTGTTCTTCAAATGTGCAGGATGGCACCGGTTTCTACTTGGTGTTGGTTTTTCAAATTAAGGCCATGAATATTTTTCAGCAGTGAAAAAGGCATCACAAGCACAGTGACTCTTTGTTGAAACAAGAAGCAAGTGCATGTTCTGTGGAGAACAGTGTTATTCAGAAGAACTACAGTAGATTTTTAGCATTAACAGCTGTTTACTCACCAGTCTTGCCCAGAGCTTCAGCCATTGTTGTGTTTAAAAGACAAGAGCAGCTACTTCTTCAAGGCAGCCTAGACACTGCAGTGACTCAGGAAGTGATGACATGGTCCGGCCAGACTGGAGCTAGCTGGTTAGCATGCTAACCTTAGTACAAGAAAAGAATTGGTTGCTTTGCACCTCTGGAGAAAGATGTTGGTGAGTAAAGGAATGAAGTTCGATGCTGAGCTCACAATGTTTCTTCTAGACTGGTCAGTAAACAGAATGGTAATGCTAACGTTAGCTCTGTGGCAATAGCAGAACTTACAAATAGCTCCTTTAACAAAATAAAAATTTGTACCACAAAACAGATCACTACCTAAAAAAACTTTTCTTGGCCGAGAGATAAACCTTTTTAAAATACAAACGCTTGTTTAGTGTTCTGGTGTTTGCAGCTTGATGTTTTTCTTGTATAAGTAAAGAAATTAGAGATCAGAGAAAAACAGAAAAGGAGTTTATTGTCACATTGTGTTGTCCCCAGTGTAAACAAGCCCATATTTTTACTTATAATTTCATTGGTAGTTGTCATACAGGTGCAGAGTTACTAAAGCCTTCCACGGAGTGCCACAAGGCTCAATCCTGGGTCCTCTACTTTCCCAGTGTTGTACGTTACGTCATCGTCTCCAAGGATTGTGAATCTTTTTGTTTGTTCTGAATTTCATTTATTTGCTGAAGACACCCTGGACATTAATTTGTTTTTTTTTGCTGCACAAAAATCAAAGCAGTTACACTAGAATACATCCATAAATCAAAATACAGCATACTTGCCGTTAGCTTACCTTTTTGAATGAGTGAAAGATTTTTTGTGCCTAAAATTTAAACTTTTCTGAAACTATAATTCATTCAGATCCTGGAAAATCATGTATAGAGTCCAACCTTTTCTATTTAACATAATTTCATTCAGCTGTTTTCTATAAGTATCAGTGATTCCTGACCATCTGTGGTCGACGCTGCAGGATATTGTCCTGATATCTCTCGCAGCCGGTTTTGTTATTCACATTAATATGTCAGCCCACTTCTATACTGGAAGTCATATCACTATCACTCACGGCCATTACTATCTACTGATGTTAACAGTGTGTCACCAACATAATGGAGTCCACTGTCTCTCGCAGCAGGAAATACTTGCACACACGCACATGCAGCAAGTGCTTTCAGTTTCCTCTCAGTGTTATTAATTAACTGTGTAGGAAGTTAGTCATGAAGACAAATGAGTGTGTGTCTGTTTGTGAAATCATTAACTTGTCTGAGGGAAACTTGGACACACAATGGGATATGTTTTTGATGAAAAAGGTGTTTTTATTTCAACTTTGAGGTAAACGTAGCTCCTGTGTGGAGAGTGTGTTCATGGTAGAGATGTAATTTGAATGGAAAACAAAATGTATGTATGTGTAAACACTAAGAGAAAGAAACCATAGGGGGTTTATCTGCAGTGTAATCATGCCCCCAGTCATGCCCTGTGTAAATATCAGTTAGAGAGTAGAGAGACAATGAATGAATGGGTGAGACAAAAGGAGGAAAGCTGAGGGCACAGCAGCCTGGCAGATGGAAAGAGATAAAGACGTGACATTTTCCACTGTGACAGACATCTGCTGACTTCTAAGTATGTCTGTCTCTCCCCCCCTGACTCCCCCACCCCCCATCTCTCTCTCTGTCTCACGGCCACTGTCAGGTGGAAATTTACAGCTCTTGTTGTGTCATTGTGGCACTGATCGTCTTCCTGCTCAGACATCCGACCAATCACAGAGTCATGTTTAATACTTTTAATGGGGAGGAGAGGAAGGAAGAAGAAAAGAGTTTAGTTTTACTTCATCTCTCTATTTGAATTTATTTCTCACAAAAACATACTGACTTAAACCATTAAATGAACATTTTAACTGGTTGATGCTGAAAGACTTGATCATGATCATTTGCCTTAGTTTTGAGGAAGTGATCGAAACAGTCATTTGTAGTTGGGGCATATGGAATGGGCTCTAAATCAATATTAGATAAATAAATGAATAAATACAGCTGTGAAATAAATCCCCTAATACATAAGTTAGGTAATAAATGTAGAAGTATATAAATAATTGTAAATATAAATGTATAAGTGAGTAAATAAATAAATAAAGAGCTTTTTCTTTTTAAAAAAAAAAAAAAAAATTATTTATTTATTCATTGACTCATGTATTTATTCATATTTACATTAAATATATATTATATATATATATATATATATTTCAGGATTTATTTCACAGCTGTATTGATATGTGTATTTATTTATTTAATAGTGATTTAGATGCATTCCATTCGGGCAGACCTTATCATGGCTGAGTTCCACATTCAGCTGCAACGTGTACTTTGCTCTTTGCTAATAAAGAAAACATTTGATAAGGGAGTTGTTAGATTGTGACATTAAGGAAGGAGACTCTGAATCTCATCCAAAATAAAAGCAGCTATCAGAACCCAACCCTAATCCGTTGGCCTATTTCGTCTGTTATTCAGTATCACTGCTGCTGTGTCCCGTCTATAGTTTAGATCATGTGGCCAGATCACAGTGACTCCATTTGATCTGAGCTGGCACTAAATAACGTCACAGACACTGACCTGGAAAAAAGTCAGTCTCCTTCCAAACAAAATGTGGTGCATCCGCTGCTTCTGAGCGCTGTTATCTGAGAGGCAGCAACATGAGCTGAGAGTCCACGAGCCGCAGCTGATGCACAGAGTTAGACACTAATTATTTTATTCTGAAGGCCAAACAAGGTGATGTTAAACAGACTGGACTCATCTCTACAAGGGCTGGGAGATGAATCTAATTTTATTTTTAATTTTGTCTTCCAACGATTATGAAAACAAGATAATCCAGATAAAACAATTATTATTTGTGCTGCATTCTGTTTCGCAACAACTTCGACTTCCTGGTCACGTCTCGGCGTACGTAAGTGACGCAAGTTAGCGGCGTAAGTTACGTTAGTTACTGAGCGGATTATGTTGAATATATTTTATCAAAATGTTGAATATATGTTTAGGAGTTTTCAGTAGGTTGTGGAAGTACAATAACGTTACATCATAATTTATTTTTATTAGTTTTTGTATTATGTATTTAATTGTATATATTTATATATTATTTATTATTTTTTTTATTTATATCTTTTTTTTATTTTTCTGTTGAATTGTATTTAAAGTTAAAGAAAGTCCACTGTTAAAAAGGTTTTAGTAATAAATGCGTGGTGTTTCCAAAGTCAATGAGTAATCGTGTTCAATAATCGTGATCTCAATATTCATGATCAAAATAATCGTGATTATTATTTATTCTTCTTATCTCTACTGCCACACTGTGGTTGTCTGGTAGCATTGCAGGTGATTCAGGTTGAGGCGCAGGTGAATTTCAAGCTGCTGAAGCTGCTTCTTTTGAGCAACACAAAAATCCAACCGTGGCGTGAAACAAAACCACAGTGGGTTTAACGGTGGCGTCCTCCGAGCGGAGTCAGTTGAAAACAAACTGCTGCTCTTGTTTTTGCAGGTTGAACTTGCACAAGCAGTTTTCATGACTGAGGGAAGCCTTGTTTATCTGGAAGAGGAAGAGCCATAAGACACAGCTCATGTTCCCCAGGCTGTGGTTGACGGCTGACAGTGAAGGACAGGTTGTAACATGTGGTGACATCGTCGAAGGAGAAATTGTTAAAGGAAGATTTAGTCCTTTTAGATTCTTGTTCTTGGAAGTCGGGCTGGAAAAGTCAAGAGTGCCATAAAACTATATGACACATACTTTACATAAACACTTCACTTTCCAGTCTTTATTTTTCTAAAGCAGCCTGGAGAACCAGCTTGGTTCTTTCAGTAGATGTTTTTAAAGGTTTCAGTTCTGGTTGATTTCTGTTGGTTAACGTGGACCAGCAGCCAACATCTGGAGCTGGAAACTCTGGGGCTGTGGCTCATGTGTTGGTCTACCAGCCTCTTTAGCAGGTGGCCAGCCGCCATCGAGTGGCAAGGTGTTGAGGGTTTATGTTATATGCCGAAACATGTGCACATAAAAACTTAAAAAGCAAAGCTGCTGTTGGTGGATTGTTCTCAGACTGATTCTCTCTGATCGACTCTCTCTCTCTCTCTCTCTCTCTCTCTCTCTCGTTTCCACAGAATGGCGCAGAAAGAGAAACTTCAGTGTCTGAAGGATTTCCATAAGGACACTCTGAAGCCGTCTCCCGGTAAGAGCCCCGGCACTCGGCCTGAAGACGAGGCGGAGGGCAAACACCCCCAGCGGGAGAAGTGGGCCAGCAAGTTGGACTTTGTTCTGTCTGTGGCTGGAGGCTTTGTTGGTTTAGGGAACGTCTGGCGTTTCCCATACCTCTGCTATAAGAATGGTGGAGGTGAGAAAACAATAGAGCTGTTGATTCACATACACTCCTCTGTTACCTGGTTTCATTTCCTCCATGTTGCCTACAACTGTTCCTGAATGTCTCCCTCTCTCTCTCTCTCTCTCTCTCTCTCTCTCTGTTCCCTCACCTCCACCCAGGTGCATTTCTCATCCCCTACTTCATCTTCCTGTTTGGCGGAGGTCTGCCGGTCTTCTTCCTGGAGGTCGCCCTGGGTCAGTTCACCTCCGAGGGTGGCATCACCTGCTGGGAGAAGCTCTGCCCCATCTTTACTGGTGAGTAGACTCTTCGAGAAATAATGTCAGTCGTAACACGAGTGGCTGCACAGAGCAGGTAGGGGTTGGACGGAGTATTTGTCCCCATCAGGTGTGTCCCATGTGTGTCCTGGAAACAGAAACACTTTAACATTGAGGATTAGGTGTGATGGTCATGATGTAAGTAAATATAAGTGCAACTGAATTTGATCCTCAAAAAAAATCAAATTCAAGCCATAAAACTAAAATAACATTGTCTAATTATCTAAGATTATTTTATAATATTGCAAATAAAATGAAATACAAAGATTGAAGGAACTTTGACTTTATATGAAGAAACGTGTCTATTGTTGACAATGTGAAAACATTACGACACTTCAGGTTCAATTTCTCCTCAGCTGAGGGAGTTACTGAAGTGTGCTGCACAGAATCTCTTAAGAGGTTTCCTTAGTAAAAGAGAAAAGTTGAGTAATTTACAGGCGTGAAAGAGATTTTACAGTGGTTTCCATGGAGACCGTCAGTTTGCTGGCATTATCCCCAGGTGTTTCCCTGAGGAGCTGGTGGAGACCAAACACAGAGCTAAAAGAGCGGGAACACTGGACTTAACGTGGCTCTAGATGAAAGATAATGTTTCTCTGTATCAGACAAGTTCAACATATCGACATCAAAGGTGAAGATTTGTCAACGTTGTGTTCACGACATCTTGTTTCTGCTGCCCCCAAGTGGCCACAAAACAACCATCTAAAACCTTGTGGAAGAGGGTCACGTGACATACGTTATATATCAGATTATATAGATATAAAAATGATATCTCCTGTATCTTTTAGCAAGTACAGGAGTTCATAGACCCAGTTGTCGTTTATTGTCGTACACGTCTGACCAACAGCCCCGCCCTCTGCCCCGCCCCCTCCCCCCCATGTGACCTCACTGATCTGAGCGATGTCGGCAGCCTTCTCTAAGTCTAAACTCCGGCGTTTAGATTTTTCCAGACCTGTGTTGTTTTTCACAGAGGAACGGCCGTGCAACATAAGGCTGAGTCACACCAGACTCGCCTCCGATCAGACTACTGAGACTTTACCCTGCAACCGTTACCAGGCAACCAGGCCTGTGCCGGTACACCGACACACTGAGGCCTGTACTCTGCTCTCACCTCCTCTCCTGTGGAAACCTGCCGTCCTCCAAGAAAGCACGTTCAGACTTCGAGACGTCTTCTCCAATATTTCCTCTGTTATCAGATGGAGACGTATTTTTGTTTTGCCCTCCTCTGCTCCTCCTTTCTTCAGTCTAATCTCCTCCGTCTCTCCGTCATCATATTTCCTCGCTCTCTTCCCTCCTCACTTCTCTTTCTTCAGCTCTTCTCACCTCCCCCTCTCCCCTGTTCGCTGCCAGCTGAATAAGGTTAATGTATTCATCGCAGTCGCTCTCTCTCTCTTTCTCTCTCTCTGTGGCTTTTTCTTTTCTCTAATTCTACGTCTCCTTTTTGTAAATTTTATTTCAGTAATTTTATCGTTTCGTTATCTTGATTTAATTATTTACTCATGCTGCTGTTCTCACTTTCACACACACACGTTCTTTCTTCCTTTCAGACACATTATCCTCCCCGCCGTCTCTCATACACACACACACACACACACACACACACACACGAGACGGTGTACAGAGTGTCCTGAATCACACGTTGCTATGGCAACAGCGCTGCAACACATCAGAGAAACAGCAGAGAGAGAGAGAGAGAGAGAAGAAGCAGAGCAGGGAGATCTGAGGAGAGAGGAGATGGGTTGATAAAGACCAGAAAAATTGGAGTAATGAATAAAGGCGGCGGCGGGGGGGTGGGGGCAGGGGGAGGAGTGGGGCGGGTGAAAAAGGAAAGGAGAGAGGGAACGAGAAAATGAAAAATAAAAATAATTGAAGCAACAAAAGAAAAAGGGAGAAAGAGAAAGAGATGTGTGATCGCCCCTGACATCTGAATTCCTGCCCACGTCTCTGATTTTTCATGTTGTGCTCATTGAAAACAAGCGAGCCAATCAGAGCTTTGTGGGCGGGATTAGAAGAGCGATTAAGAGAGAGAGAAAAAAAAAAACAGACAGGAAGCGTTGATGAGATGAGTGCAGCTGTACAGGTTGTTCTGAGTCGAACAGCACAAATAACAACTGTTAAATCATCATGTTTCTTTCTGACTTTCTGATGTAACGCAGATACTGATTTGTTAGAGGAAAAAGATCCTGAGCTGACACGACGTGAGGTCAACATCAGACTGAGGAAAGAAGAGAAAACAAGTCTGATTGTTAGCTGTTAGCTGTTAGCTGTTAGCCTGATGTCTTAAAGGGTGGAACTGGAAGGTTATTAAAACCAACCAGGACCTGACAACCGTCTCCACCAGAATACACTGAATAGACTGAACTGAGATCAGATCTGAGTCCTCGAACCTTGTTTTTGTTTAAACACAAAAAACCATAAACCAACCATGTAAACTCCACATTCTGTCGGAGTGCGGCTGATTCCTCGTTGTGTTTATCAGTCACATTCTCATGTGGGGCTCTTGATGATTTTCTCCAGCTGTTATTGTTTTCAGTGACACCGTGTGATGCTGCTGAGCCTCAGCTGCTTCACAGATGATTCCTCTCCGCAGTAAAACACTTCGAGAGGCTTTCAAAGTTTCAGGGAATTTATTTCTTCAGACATGAACCTCGTGAGTTCAGAAGCTCCCGGAGGTTCAACTCCCACCTTTTCAAACATAGGGACAAAGTGGAACAGACTCAGTCCGAATCCTCACTCCCAGAATCATATTTAAAATCTGCTAAACAGCTGAAATATGTGTCCTCATCATAACTTAAAGCTCCTCCAGTGTAAAGGTCTGTGTCCATGTGTAGTGTGATTATAGATCAGGTCTAGCTTCTATATTAATACTGTGAAAGTATCAAAGCCTCAGTCCACAGAGAAATGCACACAGCCTGTATTCAGAAACTGAGCCTTAAAACCAGCCGTCAGGACTTCTGGAACTTTGTGATGTCACAACAAAGCAGTCACCAAGCCCCGCCCACCCGGATTATTTCAATTTAAATTCAACAGGCTCAATGTGTTGCCAAAGCAAAATTACAATCAATCAATGGAATTAAATTATCAAAAAAAAAAATGTCAGTAACAATATTAATATAATAAAATACAATATAATTATTAATAGAAAAAATAGATAATGAAATAAAGTAAATGAAAAAAACAATAGACATACTGTATGTACATATCCAAATATACGCATACATAAACATATACATTCACATAAGTAAAAGCAGTTAGGTAAACACATTTGGTTTGTATATTTCTATATATATATCTGTCTTCTCACTCAGAGCCTCCTCTCTTCTGATTGGCTCACCGACCTGTTGTTACTAGAGCTGCAGAGAGAAGCCTGAGAGAGGAGATGTGAAACTAAACACTTGTGTCAAATATAGAGCTTTAATTTTAATTCTAAGATTTGATCAGAACGTAGCACGAAGATCAATTAGAACCAGGTCAGTGACACTAATAAACATTATGATAAAGGTCAAATACACCTGGTGACATCATCCTGACACTAAATGATATGACAGGTACGTCTGTCTTCAGTCTGGACCCTCGTGTTGACGGCGGTTCTGAGTTTAAAAGAATCGATTGCAAATGTAAACAGAGCGAGGTCAGTCGAGGTCAGCGCCCGAAATTACATCATGGAGGGCGACGCATCTGTTTGTTTGATCAGCACTGTACCATGTGATCCAAGCGTGTGTGTGTGTGTGTGTGTGTGTGTGTGTGTGTAGGGATGCAGATGCTTAGCAGCTGCTAATTAGTCGAGTTATTAAAAGGACATGATGCGATGCTGAAGTAGTTCACACACTCATACACACACACACACACACACACACACACACACAAAGACACACAGATAGCGAATGAGGCTGAAGAACTTTCTCTCAAATTCAGCGTGCACACACACACACACACACACACCCACACACACACACATACACATACAGATGGCCAATGACGTTGAAGGACATTAATTTGGATGAATGGCCTCTGTCGGCTGTGTGTACTGACTGATAATACTGCACACATACACACACACACAGACACCAACACACACACACACACACACACACACACACACACACACACACACACAAAAGCTCTTCTAATTTACTTACGAGGACCTTCAGTGACCACAGTCATTACTTAACCTTTAACTTAAAACCTAACACATGCTTCTAATCCTCACCCCTACACCTGTTCTTAATTTGAAGGATTTTCTTATGTTTACACACACACACACACACACACACACACACACACACACACACACACACACACACACACAGCCTTGATCCAGTGTTTACCAGCAGCTCCATCTCGAGGTCGGTGGTGTCGCAGCTGATCGCTCTCCTGAACGCGTCAAAGTACATTTAAGTGCAGGGCGATGTCAGTGAAGGTTAAAACAACTAAATCATTAATTCTCTAGACCTTCAACTGGCTAAATGCAGTGTGGGTGTTCATTAACACAAGCTAATAGTTACCAGAACTGTTAATGGTGAGGAAACAGGGATTTACAGTACATTTTGTGAGGACAGTGTTTTACAGTGCAGACGAGGGGTTTCATGAACATAAGAGAAAAAGAAAAGTCACCCATAACAGGAAGTAACACTTTGAACACTGAAATATATCTGTTAGACTCAGGATGTGGAGCTCTAATCTTTTATTTTTAAAGACCCAGGTTCAAGTCACACAACGTGTCTTTGTGGAAAGACATTTTGATTTTAGAGTTTTTCTTATTCAGCTTCTTAAACCTGTTTTTTCAGTAACTAGTGGTGACATTACACAGTCTACATCATCTTCAATCATCAAACATCACCTGTGTGTGCTCTGGTTGCCTGACACGTTGGTTTCGTTATGAGCTGGCGACTGTTACATCCTGTTTTCTGGCCAATCAGAATCCAGCAGGAAGAACTAAAAGTGGAGACACAGCAGAGACTTATAAGGTGAAAACTCTGTTGAAGGAAGTTCAAAAAGTCTTTCACTGGTCACATGGGGACAAAGGGAAATGTCAGTGTCGAGTTCAAACCCCAGATGATTTTTATGTTCATATAAATCATGGTGACATGTCATTTTAAAGAGGGTTCACTTCAGGGCAGAGGATTGTTTATTTTTACCAAATGTGTCTCAGTATTATAAAGTCTGATCAGTGGCTTCCTGTATCATCATCATCATCATCATCATCATCATCATCATTGTGACCTCTCCCCTCTCTCCAGGTATTGGTTACGCCTCCATTGTGATCGTTTCCCTGCTGAATATCTACTACATCGTCATCCTGGCCTGGGGCCTCTACTACCTGTTCCAGGTGGGTGTGGGGAAAAAGAAACTCTGATGGCAATAGAAGAAGTCCCTCAAGGATATCTGTTAGGGCCACTGACTAGCTGGAAAGTGCTGTTCCATGAAATGCTCCGAGTACAAGATCATTTAAATGAATCGCTGATAAAAAATAATAATTTTCTGCCAAATTCCAGTTTTTTATGAAGCAAAATACCTTTAAATTTGCTGACTGAGGTAATAATTCATGAAATAACAAATACTTCACAGAATGTGAGAGATAAATGAGTTTACTTGATCTGTTAAAAAAAAAGTGAAACTGGATTGATGAATAAAATCCAAAAACATCAGTTTCAGAGTCAGGAACTGCCAAGATGGCAACGGTGGAGCAGGTCATTCTGAGCTTCAGAAACTTATGGGTGACGTCACAGAGGAAACGTCCATCTTTATTTAGAGTCTGTTGTTCTCACAACCTTTTAACATCCAAGTTAAACTGAGTTAAACTTGTTAAAAAGCTGTGCTGCATTCGAACTGAAGCTCTTCCTCTGCAGTAACCTGGATGCAATAATAATAATAATTTTATTTATATAGCACTTTTCAAAACAGAGTTACAAAGTGCTTTACAAACATAAAAACAAAACAAAGCCATAAAAAAGTGTATGAAGCTGCTGAACGTTCAGTCAGAGCTATAGCTTTAGATCATAGCATGACCAGACCTGACTCATAAATCAACCCCCCCCCCCCAAAACCACAGACATGATTATGCAACTGCTGAACCTGTTGCTCTGACTGAGACTTAATTGTATATGGGTTGACAATTTAGGACATTTTCAGAATAACCATTTTTTTTTTTTTTACAGTTACAAAATTGGCAGCAAAGAACAGCAGCAGCCTAGTGAGCAGAATAAATGCTCCTATTAATGTCTCATGCCAAGAATAGAGCCTGTCTGTCATCCATTGTGCAGCCTCCTTCATGTCTTTGAAAAACTGGTTTAAAGCCGATCCAGTAACCTGTAAAGCTCTTTGATGGCGCCCCTTAAATCCAAACAGGTGCCTCTTGAGGCTCGACAGACCTCGATGAAGAAGGCTGTAAATTAAAGGACAGAAGGTGTCGAATTCTCATGGACGGCTCAGCCGCTGAGTCAAGTGAAGTTTATATATATATGTTTCATATATATAAACTTCACATGTTTCACAGAGACATCTCAGACCGGGTGTGGTGTCGGTCCAGATCTGAGACTGACTCATTTTAAGGCAAAAACATTAGACACCTTACCCCCAGGCTAACTCAGGCCTAGAACAAGTGTTATCGTGGTAACAATCAACAACACCTGTGCTGAGCAGTTATACCCAACAACCAGAAAACAGGAAAACATGGCTCCTAATTTGTGGTTTGCTGAAAAAGAAAAAGGGAAGGAGACGGCAGCCATTTTGTATTTTATCGTCTCACTCTTCATACACTCTTGTAACTGTTGAATTCTTCCATTACACAAACATTTTCTCCTGAGGGTAAATGGAGCGTGGTCAGCCATTTTTTTGATAATAAAAAAAGTCTAATTTACCCAGAATTCATTGCACCACAGTCCAGCTTTAGATAGTCAAGCACTTAACTGCTTTGTGCAATAGATGAATTTAGACGTCTGTCTGAAGTCTGACTGTTTGTTATATTGAAGACACAGTCAAAGTCTGTGTTTGTGAAACCGGCTCCAGGTCTAAACCAGGTCTGAGCTCAGCTCGGTGCAGAGATAACAAAACAGATGAGTTGGTGGTAGAAAGTTTCAAGCGTCTTTGGTTTTCCGTCTTTAGTCAGTGATTTTGAACACTGATGAAACTGTTGACCAGCCAGCTTATCTGATCTGAGCATGCTCAAAAGTTAAGTACACTAACATAACTTCTGCTTGTTTTGCGTTTCAGTGTTTTCAGCCGGAGCTGCCCTGGGCCAAGTGCAATCAGCCCTGGAACACCGAACACTGCATCGAGGACACCTACCGCAAGAACAAAACCCTTTGGGTGGCTGCCAACGCCTCCAACTTCACCTCCCCCGTCACCGAGTTCTGGGAGTGAGTTACATAAGAGCACACACACACACACACACACACATATATGCTGCGCACCTCCATAATCACACGTGATTTTCATGTTGTTTTACATGTGAAAAGTTCGGTTCAGGTACGACTTTGATAAATGATCTGAAATTTAAATGGAAGGCCACAGGAAGTAGAAGACGCATTAGTAATGTGATGTGCACGTGTCTCACACATGTGTCTCACACATGCACAGGTAAACACATTTGCTTAAGGAGCTCTTTCCCCATGTGTTGCAGACATAACGTGCTGGGTATCACCAGCGGTATAGAGGACATGGGTCATGTTAAATGGGACCTGGCTCTTTGTTTACTGCTCGTCTGGGTCATCTGCTTCTTCTGCATCTGGAAGGGAGTCAAGTCCACTGGCAAGGTAAATCGACGTGTCCTCTGTTTTGCACTATCCTGTTGTTTTGTGTTGCACGGTTGTTCCAAAACAAGATTGTGTTCCTCATGAACTTGCTGAACTTTAAAAAAAAAAAAAAAAAAAAAAAAAAAAAAGTACAAGAACCGTCTTGTCCATTTTTATCATCACTGTATCGTGAGGATGCAGAAAACCATAACAGAGTGATGCTCATATGATTTTTTTTTCTCTGTGGTCTGAACAAGAGAACAATACAGCGCTGTGTTCAAGCTGAGTGCAGCAAAGTACAGATTTGGTTGTTTTTTTTTTCAAGGACGTGGGAGGCTGGAGAAGTTGCAAATGAATAAATCCCTTATTTTCTCTTCAGCGATACAGAAATGAAATAGTTACAAACACAAAGGTTTAAAAAGTTTGTTCCACTCTTATTTTAAAGGTTCTGAGATGGTTTGTGTAAAATACTGGATCTGCGTGCAGAGCTGAGTTTTAGTCTCTCAGGAGAAACACTAATGTCAGGGCAACATCTGGTTCCACTTTGCTGTTGTGGATCCTCCCAAAGATTTTAGCTTCCCAGCATTATTTCCTCAAACAAATAAGTGTTTACGACTTGCAGGCCGTTAGCAAGGGTTTAATGATGTATAGAAGTTGTACAGTAGCTCACAAACTTAGCTTCCTATGAGAAAGAAAATGTTTAGAAACTTCAGGCCTCTGTATAAACTGGGAAGTGGAAATATGATTTTGACCATAAACCTTTCATTGTTCTTTGTTTGTCATGCTAAAAATTTAGCTACTGTGGTCTCAGTGCTAATGCTAACTGTGCGCGGCAGAACGCTAACCCTATCTCTGTGTAGTTAGCATGATCATAAAGCAAGTTAAAATTTATGTTGTTGAAACATCAGAGAGCTAACCAGTTAACTAAGTAGCTTAGCAAGGCAGCTAATGCCACATTTGAAGTTTGAAAGTAAGCTAGGCTAAACAGCTCACCTAAGCAACAATAAGCTGTTAGCAAGTGTGCTAGCAAGTAATAAAATCAATAAAACATTTTGAGGCCAGTGTGTATATGTTATGTTTTCGAGTTTAAAAAATTGCATGATTAAGATTGTTTTCAAACATTAACACACAACACACCAGTATGGGTTCCTTTGATAAGGAAGGAAAGCTATTTAGCTAGTTAGCCTTTGGTAAGGAACCAATAAATGTGGTTACAGAATTGGAGCCACTGAGCAGGACATTTCACAGTTGAAAAATAGAAGTCCATGCCCTCTAGTGGACAAACTGATGGATAAACTGTCTCTAACTTGTTCCACATTGTACCACATTGTCTTGTTTCTAATGCCCAAAATGTAAACATCAATACTGATCTTTTTTCTTTTAGTTGATATTGGATGTCAGCCCGGCCAGTTTTGTGGTTGGACCCTTTGGCCCTTGGCCCTGTTTGAGTTACATAATTCTGTATTCCAGATAATCCGAGCAGTTCCTAAAATTCATCTTTTTGGCAGGTTCTTTTGCCGACTGTGTAATAAACCACAGACCTTGTTCAGTTGCTGCCACAGCAACAACAACAACAATTCACCATGAGGCCGCAGGCAGCTCAATCAATCCCAGACCACTATTTTTATAGCCTTAACACTCTTTATTGATTGGTCTGGCCTGATTTATACCTTCTGGTTGCTTCCTGTTGTAACCCTGGTAATAAAGACTCCTACAAGGCCAAGTGTGGTCACCGCTTTCCAAACAGCAGATACTGATGCACTGCTATTGATTTAAGGGACAGCCTGTGGCCTGTTCTTGGTATAATCCAAAAATAACGTCCAGAGTTCTCACATTTATCAACCACCAGTCTCTGTAACGAAACCAAAGACAACAACTAGTTGGCCAGATAACAAATTAACGTCCTTGTCATGGTGAGGCACAACATTTTTTATACTGGAGAATATTTACAGTGTTTCTATAATTGGTGACCTTGCGTTTCTGTATCTGTGCTCTCCCTTAGGTGGTCTACATCACAGCCACATTCCCGTTTATCATGCTCATCGTGCTGTTGATTCGTGGTGTGACACTGCCGGGTGCTTCAGAGGGTATCAAGTTCTACCTGTACCCTGACCTCGCTCGCCTGAAGGACCCAGAGGTAGGTGCCCCTGTGCTGCCTGGGCAAGAAAGCCCCATCGCCATTCTTTCCTACGCTACTCTATCCAAACATCGCTCAGCATGGACAACTGTAACATCTGTCTGTCTACTCATAAAATACCTGTTAGGAAATATAATTGATAGCAAACAACAAACAATGACACTTTGAGAGACAGTGTAACTTAAGGTATAGTTTAGCCACAACAGAATNCCGCTACTCTATCCAAACATCGCTCAGCATGGACAACTGAAACATCTGTCTGTCTACTCATAAAATACCTGTCAGACAGACTGTTAGACAGTGTAACTTAAGGTATAGTTTAGCCACAACAGAATTACTGCACTAGATCTTCTGTTTAGCAGCTGAATAATGAAATTATATCCTCCCCATCTATAAAGGTTGAAGGTATACTATATAAGTTATTTCCTCCCATATTCTGGAAGTCTTTCTTGAAATATAAGATTGGGTGTATAATTTCACCAGCGGTCTGCTCAGTACGTAGGTTTTAAGGTCAGTCAGAAACTGAGCAGTCAGCTTGAAAGGCAGCGTCTGTGCTGTTGGTACGTTGGGTGTTTGGGACGAATAAAGACGGAACGAAGAATGCAAGGCGGAGAATAATTTTGTTTTCAGCCCTTACGACAGTCAATCTGGTGGTTTCCAGTCCGAGCTATTACCAGTTAAATTCTGCTAGACTTCTGCAGCTGCTAACTTCCCCTAGTCCACATTGGTCCACGACTTACTTCCCTCCAGCTTCCCTTCATGTTATTCTTGGTCCTGTACTTCCCCTCATCAGCAGGCCTCAGCCTTTCTGTCCCCACTCTCTCCCCCTGCTTCACAGGTGTGGATTGACGCCGGCACCCAGATCTTCTTCTCCTACGCCATCTGTTTGGGCGCCATGACGTCCTTGGGGAGCTACAACAAGTACAAATACAACTGCTACAGGTGAGGTGCCAGTTTCAGTGAGGGGGATTAGCTGTAGGGGAGAGAGGGGGGGTGACGGGATCCTTGTGTGTTCATTAACAAATCCTCCTCATGACATATGTGTGACATAGGGACTGTTTGCTGCTGGGAGCCCTCAACAGTGGTACCAGTTTTGTGTCTGGCTTCGCAATATTTTCCGTCCTGGGCTTCATGGCACAAGAGCAAGGGGTGGACATTGCTGATGTGGCAGAGTCAGGTACGAGGGTTCTGTAAAGGCGGCAGTGATGGTGGGCGCTGCTTCCTGGTTAACAAATTAAACAACAGTAAATATTAAAGAAAAACAGCAACGAAAACCCCAAAGAGGTTCATAGCCAATACGTTTAATTTCGAATTGAATTGTAATTTGGAATTAAATGGATTCCCTGATCAATCATAAAATGACGGCATCGGAATATGGAAGTTTCCGCAATCAAACACTCCTTGACAAAAGCAGAATGTGAGAGCATATGAACACATTTGGTCGGTTTGTTAGCGCAACATTTAAGTAAAGAAAGGAGGCTGGATCAGGACAAACGAAGAGATGTTGGAAATATGATTTTTTTATCAAAGGGCACGAGTCAGAGACATTAAGACACTAATTAAAAAATAAGGTAGAATGCCAAGATAGAATACAGTGCGTCTTGTGCCAGTGTGCTAGCTTAAACATGCTATCAGAGATTTGGCTTTGAGGTGTTCCCTCTCTACACGAGACGAACTGACGTGACCTCTGTTGTGACCTGTCTACTTGAGTTGGTGTGTGGTGTTATTAGCTGTTTCTACCTATTCTAACATGTAGTGCTAGCAACTGTATGTTTTTGTAATGTCTGTTAGCATCCACAGTCATCAGATATAGCAACTCAACCATAAAACTCCATGGAAAACTACTGAACGTTTTACCAGAGGAAGGAAAAACTGTCCCTCTACATTTGTATTTAGTTGCCAGAGACTGAGGTGTTTTGGAAAAAGCCTTAAGTGCCATCATCTTTTCCATGGACTGGCAGTATATTTACAGTATACAGGATTGCTGGAGCCTGATGACAGTGCTCGGTTCTCAAATCCCAAATCAGTCTTTAAAAGTACAAATTCCACTCAAACAAAGCTGATGTTTCTAGAACTACCATTGGAGCTCGTTTGGAAAGTTTGATTCCCTTCTTTTCTGTGATATTAATCATCCTTCAATTACCTCCTTAAGACATCAGGCATCTTGTTGGACATCAAACTTTAAACTTGTAATTTATGTCAATAGCTGAACTGATCATTAAGTGCTTTGGTGAAACCCAGGCTTCATCTAATGCTCCAAGCCCAACCATTCTGAGGAAAGCAAATGTAGCTTTAGCGCAGTGAGCTAACTTTCAAACGCAGCCAGCCCAGTCGATACGAATATTGGATGGTTCTGTCGTCTCCAACGCCGAATTAACGGTGGGGGTTTGGCAGAATTGTCCAATGTCAACGTTTGTGTTTGGCGAGTGGGTTGACGCTCCACAGGTTGCCAAAGAATAGAAGTGCAGATCAGTGCTGCTGGATCCCCCGCCGGCAACATGGGCGACACGCAGCTCAGTTATTCATAATGTGTCCATCTGCTGCGAGTCAAAACAGCAGAGCAGGTCGAGTAGACAGAACAGACTCAGACAGGTCACCAGGCTGTGACAGGTTCAAAAACCCGCCAGGTAAGACAGATATCAAAGGTTTAGGAACATCACAAGTCAGTCCGCCTTAACTGCGGCTGCTTGATGCTGATGTATCTGACAGAGGAATGAGTGTTTCCTGCATGAGAGAATACGCTGATGCTCTGATCACACTGAAGCTACGATGTGGCTTCTGTTGACTCAAGAATGAACTTTATGAAAAGTGAAGCTTTAAAATACTGAGCCCAGTCAAGTAAGGACTGATCCGTCACACAGTAGGTGTGATTAACGTTCTGCTAGCGTCTCCCCTCTCAGGGAACTGAAGTTGGTGCTATTTTTGGAGTCAACGTGGTGTTTGGTTGGATGCCCTGTCATAATTCACAACTAAAAAAAACTGAACATATTTACATATCCTGCTATCAGCTGTTTCGCTGTCATGGCTGCTTCCTTTGTTTCTGGACTTCTGTTTTCACGGTTCACGATGTGTAGCATCAACATCCAATTAGACCTCCGCAAAAAACAAAAAACAACAACAAAAAATAAACAAACCTCACGTCACGATTTGTATCTGCTGCTGTTTTGCAGAGATCAGTAATTTTTCATTCTTAAAAAAAAAAGATAAAAAGAGTCTTGATTCGGCCGAGAATGTAAAACGGTTCGAGTGACGAAGGAGTCGACGAACTTTAATCATCTGAGGGACTCTTGATTCACCTTCTCCAGCAGCTGATCAGCTCCGTGTTTAGAGGCGTCCAGCTGCTCGACATGGTGAATCTAACTCGTCTTAATCAGGTTAATTGCTGCATTGTTTACAGTGGTTAATGGTCTTTTTTGGTAACACACAAACACATGTACTAGTTACACTCCACTACATAATGTACACACTTCCATTTATAACATGTTCTCTCTCTTGTGACTTCCTCAGAAGTAGCAGTTACACTCTTCTCACAAAACATGACATGACACATTATATTCAACATGTTCTTTATATTGATATTGATGTTTTGCTTGTTATTGTTGTGTTTAACTTTATTATAATGTTGTTTTTTTCCTTGTTATATATTTTTATAAATGGAATGGAATGTAATGTGCATAAAGTCTGTAATATTGTAAGTAATGTGTGTTTAAAATGGAGGCGACAGGTAAGTAAAGATGTCAGATCAGATGTACTTAGTACCTTTGTACTTTGTGTACACACACACACACACACACACACACACACACACACACACCTATGTGAAGTGTTGTAGCCGAGGTTTTGCCATGATGTGCGTTCAGATCTGTTTCTGCGTCTCCGTTGTTCTGGGCCGTTTCTTCCCACAGGGATGCAGATCAGATGAGCTCATCACATGATACTAATGTCACCCCCTCCCCCCACCGTCCCCTTCTTTCTGGTCCTACTCCCCCCCTCCCCCTCCCCTCCCCACTCCTTTGCAGGTCCTGGCCTGGCGTTCATTGCCTACCCCAAGGCTGTAACCATGATGCCTTTTCCTACACTCTGGGCAGTTCTCTTCTTCGTTATGCTGCTGCTGCTTGGCCTCGACAGTCAGGTCAGCGCACACACACACACACACACACACACACACATACACACACGGAAACATACACACGGAAACACAGTTAATAATAATGATAATAACTTTATTTATATAGCACTTTTTGCAAACGAGAAAACAGAAAAGAAAACAGCAATAACAGACAGAGAGGCAACGTGTAACAGGGAGAATTACAAATACACGTGTTAAAACAGTAAAATCAATAAAGCGGACAAAAGAAAATAAAACCAAAAGTAGAAACCAAAGATAAAAGCATAGAAATTAGGAATAAAAAGCTTCTTCATATGAGTGTATTTGAGTGTTTTAAACTGTGACAGCACGCCTTGGATTAGAAACGTGAGGGGAGGGGGGAGAACTCCACTACTTTGATGTTGTTTGAAAAGATTCCTGTAGCATATTAGATTTTTTGATACATTTTATTTAATAATTATTATAATATTAATGTATTATTTAAGCATAAGCATTTCACCTGCACTGATTCTTTGGATACAAAACATCATTTATTAGCAATAAACCAAAGACTGATTATTATAATTAAAGGTTTTCTTTTCTGTGATGCTAAATCAGCTCAGCTCAAATCAAGTAATAAAGTGGTTTCTAATATGTTTATTAGCTAAGAGATGTTGCTCCATGTGCAAAAACACAACCAACAAAATAAAAAAATATATAAAATAAATGTGATTTAAAGTTATTCTAAGATTTTAAGACTTGGAAGGATTTTAACTATAATCCATTTGAGCTTTTTCTGCTTCTGTAAAACATTTGAACACAGTCGAAAGAAGCTGCACTGATGAAACAGAAGTAATATTATAATGTCATACAATCAGCTGCCCTGTTTGTAAGTGAATGAGGCTGATCTGTTGGACATGAAATACCTCGACTATGATTCAACTCTAGACGCTCGGACAAATCTATAATGTAAAATCAATTCCTAATCGTTAAGGGTGTCCAGTGGGTTCGCCACTCTTATTGGGATGAGTTCATTTTCTTAATTTATCACCATAAACTTGTTGCAGTTAAGATGGAGTCGGAGGTTCCTTTAGTTTTTTTACTTCCTTTGGTTGCTAAGGTCTTTTGTGCGACGGTTTAACGCACTTTAAGTGATTCCTATTTTTATTTAAGGTTTACCTTGGTCTTATTCTTAAGTGAACATTTTAAGGAAACATTAACTCCCAGAATAAATGAAAGTAATTAAATCTTCTGTAGTCGAACGCTGTGAAGAGATGAGGATGTACAGATGTCAAGAAGCTCAGTGGATAATGTCTGTGTGTGTCTGTGTCTGTGCAGTTTGTAGAGGTGGAAGGGCAGATCACATCACTGGTGGATCTGTATCCGTCCTTCCTAAGGAAGGGTTACCGCAGAGAGGTCTTCATCGCTATCCTCTGCTGCATCAGCTATCTGCTTGGACTCACCATGGTTACCAAGGTAACGACACCATGAAAACACTTAAACATCATCTATATATATGTATGTACGTATATACACACTGTGTCTGCGGACCTCAATTCTGGCTCCGCCCCTCAGCCCCGCCCCTCAGCTCCGCCCCTCAGCTCCACCAGAAACAGCAGTGTTCAGACGACTCTTAGTGTGGGTCCCTGGGGAGATGACAGGGGGCTATTTATACTGTCAAGTCATGAGAACTTCCCTTCCCTCCCCCAGTATTAATAGATACAGTAGACCTGACTTCACTTTTCCAAATCTTCCTCCTCCTCCTCCTCCTCCTCCTCTTCTATTTCTGTCTCTGCTCTGGTTTCTGATGTTTCCCATCATTCCTGACTCCTCTCCTTCCCGCTCCCCCCTCGTTCTCTCCCTCCTCCCCTCTTCCTCTTTAACTCCTCTGCCTCATGTTTTTACTTTTTTTTCTACCTTCTTCTCTCTTTATTTCATTTTTTTATTTTATTTTAACTCTATTTATTTCTCGTAGCTCATAAATTCAGCTATCGCCACGTAGCCAACGTTAGCATCAGCTGTTTACTCACCAGTCTTGACATGAGCTTCAGTCATTGTTGTCGTGTTTACAAGACAAGAGGTTGTAATACGTCCTCTGAGCAGCAGTTACTTCTTCGGAGCAGACCGGACGCTACAGTGATAATTCAGTCTAGCTGGTTAGCATGCTAACTTCAGTAGAAGAAAAGAAGTGGTACAAATAGAAGCAAAACAAAAGGGCTGCTTTCCACCACTGGAGACAGCTGTTGGCGAGTAAAGGGAATTTTCAGTGTTTCTTCCAGACTGGTAAGTAAACAGCTGCTAATGCTAATGCTGGCTATGTAGCATTAGCAAAACTTACAAATAGCTCATTTTAAACAGAAGAGAGCCTGTTTCATAAGTTACGTCTGATCTCGTCATGATACGTCACATCACAGCAGAGTGTGTGTGACAAAGGTCGAATGAGGCTCTTCACAGTTTGAAATTTTGACATTTGCTGCAGGTTTTTGTCAAAACTGTGTTCAATTTGACCCAGTCTCCGTACAGAGACCGCTCACCTGTCGCGGCTGTGGTTAGCCATTTCTAAAAACCCGTACCACCCCTAACCATCTGTTCTAAGACTCATGCTCATGTAAATAAACTGTTCCAATCCTGTTAAAGAGGAGGTTCAGAAAAAGGTTAATGATCCCCATGGACATCGGGTCAAGGACGAAGACCATGAAACATCAATCCAATCTAACTAAGGTTTATTCTCAAATAACTGTTTCATACATGGAAGGGAAAACACTCACATGTGCTGCTGCTTCTGAAAGGACACAAATTAAGAATCAAGATTCAATTTAACACAATAAATCAAAGTCATCCCATGATGGACTTATATATAACATATAGACAAATTATAAGAACTAAAGAGTAAAAAAAAAACTTCTCCTACCAGATGTGAAGGTGAAAAAGAGTGAATGATTGAAGCTGTTAAATAACCTTGTAGTGCCCAGGTAAATTCTGTCAGGGAAATGAGGGGCAGTAAAGGTGAAACCAAGAGCCAATCAGTGATGAGGAAAGGAAAGGAGGTGAGGTAGGTGAAGAAAGGAAGAGGATCTTTCCTACACTGTCTCTTTGAGGTCTGAGGATCTGGGTGTGCCACAGATTTGAATAGACAAATGATGATAGTTTCAACTGCAACCACATTCAAATTCTAATTCAGAGCTGTTGCACCAAACACAGTGACTCATATCAGAACAGTATAATGACATGTAACTGTTGCTGTGGGTTCGTGTAAGTCGGGTGCTGGTCTTTGTTTGAACTGGCCCTGCTCGTGCATACCTTCTCCGTTCATAATTTCACCTTCAATTGTCACAGTTTCGCTCTGGTCACATGACTTGAGTCCGACGTGTCGCTAATCTACCAGATCTATCCTCCTACTCTGAGTTTGTCTGGATAGTCTTCATCATTAATCAAATCTTTAGTTTCCTTTCATTAAAAACCTTATTGACCATATTTAACCTCCTTCAGAGCAACATGTGTCCTCCACTGTCTCCACACTCAGCTGCTAGAAGGGTCAAAAAATATAATATTTAGCACAAAAGAAAAGCAGCATAAGAAATAAAACAAGGATAGAATCTAAAATAAATAAGATAAAATGGAAATACTATATACAGTAACAATATACAATGCAGTGTAGTTGATTCTGCACATGTGGAATATAAGAATAAGAAATTAAGTGTTTGTGCAGTTTGTCCCAATTCTATCCGTTCATATCAGTCTTGAGATTTTTGGATTCAGTGAAACGACAGTGAGAGGTGTCAGTTTTATCCAACGTTGCTACAGTGATGTCGGTCACTATCAACATGTTCTCTCTGTGTTTCCTGGGAACTGTGCGTCACTTGAGAAAAACAGGCGAGACGCCAAATCTCCAGATGATGCGACTCAGGCAGCGTGTCCTTGGTTCATCCTCATCCTCTCCTTCCCGTCAGACCTTTGATTTCTGTTCTCACACAACGTCTAACCTCCTCACTGTCTTTCTATTTTCTGCCCCACCTCCCTCCCTCCCTCCCTCTGTCGTTCCCATGACAACATCTTTTTATGGCTGCGGTGGCCTGGTTCAAGTTTAGGATTCCCATGATTGTTAAAACAGTTTTCACACCGGACTCACACACACACACACACACACGTGAGCACACAGAGGCGTGTGCCTGCTCACACACGTGTGTGGACACATCTGCTGCTCACATTTGGTCGTGTTCAGTCTGAACACATCTCTGTTAATGATCATATGATCCTCAAAGAATTATGGGTATAATTTAGTTTAGTGAGTGTTCCTGTGGCTCAGTGCACAGAGGAAGGTAAAACCAGCTTCCTCTATTAAAACTAACACACTGAACAGAGTCTGTTCAGATTTCCTGTTTTTAAAGTGTCTTAAAGCTCCATATTTTCTTCTTCTTCTGTGTTTTATTTGTAGTGTTGATCCATAAGAAGATATATTTGTGGTTTTAAGAACAAAAAACATCTGAGAGTAGTTTTACATCTCCTCCCTCAGGCTTCTCTCTGGAGCTCTAGTAACAACAGGTCGGTGAGCCAATCAGAAGAGAGGAGGCTCTGAGCCTCTCTTCTGATTGGCTGACTGTTTTCTGAGTGATCCAATAAAAATATAGCAGATTTCAGGTTAAAAACACTCAGAGAAACCAAATCCTGCAAGATTTGGATGGTGGGTCCAGGTGGGCGGGGCTTGGTGACTGCTTTGTTGTGACATCACAAAGTTCCAGAAGTCCTGACGGCTGGTTTTAAGGCTCAGTTTCTGAATACAGGCTGTGTGCATTTCTCTGTGGACTGAGGCTTTGATACTTTCACAGTATTAATATAGAAGCTAGAGCTGATCTATAATCACACTACACATGGACACAGACCTTTAACTGAGGAGCTTTAATGAGAGTGAAGGAAACTGAAATATACCGTGATTTTATAACCTCTCTCTCTCTCTCTCTCTCTCTCTCTCTCTCTCTCTCTCTCTCTCTCTCTCTCTCTCTCTCTCTCTCTCTCTCTGCAGGGTGGCATGTATGTTTTCCAGCTGTTTGATTACTATGCAGCGAGCGGTGTGTGCCTTCTGTGGGTGGCATTCTTTGAATGTATAGCTGTTGCCTGGGTATATGGTGAGTACCATTCTTCAAAAAAACAACAACCTACTGTGTACCTGAAGTGTCCTTGATGACTTACCTACCTGAGAACCTACTGATTCTAATGTTTGCTCTCGAATGTGACGTCCAGCTGTATCACAGCAAACCTAGCTTAAACCTTGATCTACGGCAGTTTTGCATGTGCTTTTGAAATCATATATATTTGTAGAATATAAGATGAGATGCTGTGGCCCTGCAAAAAGTACACAGTAAATTTGAGAAAGGTAAATAGAGGTCACGGTTGAATTTTGGAAATGTCCACATTTTAAACTGAATCTGCTGAAGACAAAGTAAAAACCTTGGAACATGAAGTTGTAGCGATCATTCGTGCACAGATCGTTCAGGAAACCTCCCTCGTCATCGTGTCTTTGAAATGTTTTAGCAGATTTTTTATGCCCTGTGTGAAGCACTTTGAATTACCCATGTGTGTGTTCACGGATAATCTCACTTTGCTTATTAACTGCTGTAAAGTCATTTTCCTGGTGCGTTGATCCAAAAATATTCTGCTGTGTTCGCAGGCGTTGATAATTTCTACGATGCAGTCGAGGACATGATTGGCTACAGACCAAATCCCTGGATGAAGTGGAGCTGGTCTGTTATCACTCCTTTACTGTGCATGGTGAGTGCTTCTTTTTTTTTTTTTTTTCACTGCACATATGAAGCAATTTGTGATCATGTGATCACCTCAGTCTGCACACAATGATCTGACTTCTTCTTCCTCTTTTCTACTTCCTGAAACTTGTGTCACCATGATTTTCCATATTTGCCTCAGTGTTGTCCACACGTTATTTTTAAAGGGACACGTCACCATTTTTAAGTATTTTTGCATTCAACTGCTTTAGAAAAAATATTTTTTGGTCGATGAAACCAAATCACCAGAACACAGAAATGTTGGAAATGTGGAACTGTCCCTTTAAAGGCTTAGAGGAACTTGTACTGAAGTGTTTGTTCTGTGCTCCTCCTCAGGGCTGCTTCATTTTCTCCTTGGTCAAGTACAAGCCACTGACGTACAACAAGGTCTACAAGTATCCGGACTGGGCCGTCGGAATAGGTTGGACTCTGGCCTTGGCCTCCATGATCTGCATCCCTATGGTGGTGGTCATCAAGATCATCCAGTCTGATGGGCCCCTCATTGAGGTGGGTGGTCCCTAAACATGTGTTAGTTAGCTGTGTGGCTACAAGTCTGTGGCCAGTAGCACAAAACACCTTAAGTTTAACCTTCAAGTCTGAGTTAAGACAAACAGTTGCTCAAAACACCCTTAAGTATTTAAGTTTTTCTCCTTATCTTAGATTTATATTTAAGGAATAAAGTCAGTTAAACTCTTGCACAAAAGACCTTAGCGACCAAACTAAGGAAAAAATTTAAGGAACATTTGACTCCATCTTAACTGCAGCATGACCCAGTTTATGGATAAATGAAGAGTTCCTAATGGCAGCAACTCAACAGTCTCCATGGTAACAGTAGAATTTTACTGCTGTAAAATCTTTTTCACTGCTGCAAATGCCTCAATTTTTTTGAGATTCTGTGCAAAGTAAGTGCCTCAGCTGAGGGGAAATTAAACCTTAAGTGTCAGACATAAGTAGAAAAGTTAAGGTGTTTTGTGGAACCGGCCACTGGTTCAGGTCAGAGATTAATACTTCCTTTCCTCCTTCCCTCCTGCAGAGGATCAAGGCGGTGGCCGCCCCGGTTCGTGGCGGGGCCAGCTCTCGTCCCGCAGACCACCGTGGCCCTAAGGAGCTCTCCTACCCGCTGGACCCCAACGGGAACAAGGGCCTCCTGATGAAGGCCCCCACCCACACCATCGTAGAGACCATGATGTAAAGGAATGAGGTGGAGGCTCTCCATGAGATCGCTCTCCTCTCCTCTCCTGTCCTCTAAACGCTTCTGAAGCTAGCTAGCTTTCTGTCTCTGTCTCTCTGTCTGTCTGGTGGACTGATAAGGGTTTTAGGAAAAAAAAAAAAAGTTCCCGTTTCAAATCTTTTAGGAGTACTTTGGAAGTAGTTTGCTGTTGGTGGTTTTCTCAAGAGGGTAGCAATCACATTTCAAATCTATTTCTGAAATACTCACAAGCTGTTTTTTTTTTATTTTTTATTTTTAATCTTCATGTGACTGCACACGTCCCACTATTGTCTTGCTTAAAGGCACAGTGGCAGATTAGCACCAGCCTCCAGTCAGACGCTGGTTTGTTCCAGCACTTGTTCTAAAAAAAGAGAAGAAAGTGCTTATTGAGTCTTGGAATAAAAACTGCCTTTTGTAGCCACGACATGAAAAAGATTTCCTACACTGATCATCAAGCACCAAAATACAGATTTTTTTTCTTTTTGACTGTGATACGATGAAGAGGCTGCACTTATCTGAGGCCACAGGGTTCAGCTTCGGCTGATTCTGCTCTGCTGCGTTCAGCTGAGGCAGAAGATCGAGGCACAAGTACATAATTATTAACTAAAAACATGTCACAATTAGAGATATATACTATGGCTGCACAGTTAATCGAAATATAATCGAAATCACAATATGGCCAAGAGCAAAACCCAAATTGCAGGAGGAGCTGTGGTGATACGGAGACGCCGCAGCCTACAAATCATATTCTCCAGATGTAAAGGAACATGTAAACATATTTGTTTGGTTTGTTTGTTTGTTTTTCAGTGAAAATGAAATGAAAAAATAATAATTCCAACTGAATCGTAATCACAATATCTGCCAAAAATTATCACAATATGATTCTTTTTGCATATTGTGCAGCCTTAATATTTACCCACCTCCAGTTATCAGAAAGTCTGAAAAGCATCTTGATTTTTAATAAGAAATGGGACCAAAAACAAAAAGTCCCAATCCAGTAAATATGACATTCTGTTTCTGTCTGTTATTAATGGAGCTATTTGTAAGTTTTGCTATTGCTACATAGCTAACATTAGCATTAGTAGCTGTTTACTTGCAACATTGTGGGTTCAGCATCAAACTTCATTCCTTTATTCACCAACATCTGTCTCCAGTGGTGGAAAGCAAACCTCTGGCTTTGCTAAAAGTTCGATCACGTTTTTTCTTCTAATGAAGTCAGCATGCTAACCAGCTAGCTTCAGCCTGGTTGGCCCGTCTCGCCACTTTCCGATACCGAGTCACTGTAGCGTCCTGAAGAAGTAGGACATATTATAATCTTATTGTAAACACAATGATGGCTGAAGGTATTGGAAAGACAGCTAAGTAAACAGCTGTTAATGCTAACGCTAGCGATGTAGCAATAGTAAAACCTACAATTAGCTCCATTAAAATCTGGATATTTCTAACAAAACAAGTCAAAACACAAGAGCCACCAAACTTAACTTCTTCTTCTTCTTCGCCGCACAGTTTTTGTCCCGTAATCAAAGACCAGCTGGTTTGGTAACCATTAGCGTTAACCGCTACTTTTTGCCCGGTGCAGCTAAGAGAAATTAATAAATAAAAATCAGATAATTGACGCAGCCATCGTAGCCAACGACCCTTATATCAAACCAGGATCCTGGTTTTTTTTCTAAACGCACCTTAGCACAAACTGTCCCCATCTTCCATAGCCGTGAACTACGGGTGGAATAGAGAAGTAGCACTGAGTCAGCGGCGGGAAAAATCCCGCTTCTGCACAAAGACAGAGGTATCTGAAAGGATTTGAAGTGTGGAGGTTGAACCCTTGACTGTGTTGTCTGTGGCGTACTGTACAGTAGTAGCTAATCAGTCTATCTATATCTATCTCTCTATCTATCTTTCTCTGTCCTAGACCAGTTTACAGTACAGTAGTGACTGCACTAGGCTCTCGGCTTACAAGTTTTGGATTGGATTTATTTTATTTTCCACAGAGGAAGTGACACTATTATTAGTTTCTCCTCTGTCGATGTTTAGATTTTTTTTTATTAAGACTATAATGTTATTGGTATTCACTATTGATGATAATTGCTGTAGTTTTACATAGAAGAAGGAAACACTTCTTTCATCTGGTGACAATACTAAGCTATTATACAAATCATACATTTACAGTGGCAGCCATTGTAGTTTGGTCCTCATTGTGCATTTCTTTAGTGTCACACAAACAAACAATGCAACAGATTTTTCCCAAATATTTTCTCTTGTGGGGGAGGGGTCAGACATTTAATGAGCAGTTCATTGTACAGTAAAAAAAAATGGGAATTCTACAATGGCTCCATCTGTAAGAGTTGGTAGGTGTCGGGGTTTATAGCTTTTTTCCTCTTCTGTAAATACCAGGAGACAGTATTTAATTTGGATGAAGTCAGCCAGACAGGGCACCGCAGCCAATGGTTAAACAGCGGTATCACCACCTCGGTGACTCAGCGCCACCATTGGTTGGAAGACATTCCCAACAAAGTAGCCGCTGTCTGAGAGTCAAACTCCCGTCCAGACACTGTGAAATGTGGCAGCTGGCTGCAGACGCACCGCAGCCAGTGACTGACAGAGTCCGTTTCCATGGCCGCCATGTTGCCTCACCTCAGTGAGAGCTGCTAAATGTTTTCAAATCTGGGGCCGGTTGAACAAAACACCTTAACTTTTCTACTTAAGAGTGGCACTTAAGGTTTAATTTCTCTTTAGCTGAGGGAGTTACTTAAGGGTGTTGGACAGAATCTCTTCAAAGGTTTCCTTGGTTAAGGAAAAAAGTTCAGGCATTTGCAGCAGTGAAAGAGATTTTACAGCTGCAGCGTTAAGGGACATCATCATCATCATCTTCTTCCTGTGATGCGTTCACTGTCTTCATTTATCACCATAAACTTAAACTAAGTTTTTTTCCTTACTTTTTGGTCACTAAGGTCTTTTGTGCAACAGTTTACCTGACTTTAAATGATTCCTTAAGTTCAAGACTAAGGTCAGGAGAAAACCTTCTATACTTCAGTGAACATTTTAAAGAAACCTTAAGGAGAAGACTTAAGGTGTTTTGTGCCACTGCTTTTATTTTAAGGAAACCTTAACTCAGACTTTAAGGAAAATCTTAACTTAAGGTGTTTTGTTTCATAGCAACAGTAACTTAAAACATAATTTTAAAAATAATTAGAAATAAAAAAAAAAAAAGCAGGTTATTAAACTCCCCACGTCGTCGTCGTCGTCATGGCGACATCCAGACTCTGTCAGTCAGTGGTGTGGTGAGAAATGTGCCCTGTGATACACCAACAGTCTGTTTCTTCACCTCTGGCTGATTTTATTATTTTATTTTTTAACAAACACACAAACTAAAAACTACGTTACATTCTTAACAACAAGGGGCCATGATGATAGTGACGATGTGAACCTAAAGCAGACAAATACAACCGTTCCATTCATTTTAATATGTCTGTGTAACAAGGGGTTTCCCATGAGTATGTGTCACCAGCGACCATCCACTCAGGACCTTTTCTGTAGTGCTTTTATCTACTGTATAGCTGCATTAACCCAGCGTCCAAAAAAAAAAAAAATTAGACGTGTAACTGTGGGTGACGGAGAGCTGATCACACCTGAAAATCACACCTGAACTGCCTGTTTCACCCACAGTCTGAGGCAAAGAGAGTTTTTATTGCACCTTATTTATATAATTTGGACGTCATATCAGACCATGAGGCCAAAACTAAAAAAATAAGAAATAAAAAAACACTGCCATCTTTTTATTCAGGGTTTTCATTGGCCTCCGCTGTAAAAAAAATAAAAATGAAAAAAAAATACTGTCAAAACTCCATCGAGTTCATCTGTTCTCCCAGAAGCAGACATATTAAAATCAACCATCAGATATACAGTTATACAGTACGCATGCATTGCAGGAAATCTGACCAACAACAACAACAAAAAAAAGAAACGTCACATCAGAAGCGATCATGTGACCGGGGTCTCATTTCATGTTTCGTGTAAGCTTTATCATTTTTTTTCTTCATGTAGAATAAAGTCGTTCATATCATTAAAAGGGATTTGTGAAACCAAATCCAGCAGCACACATCTATTTTCATACAGTAACAAACTTTTCCTACGATGAGTCGTCTTTGTACAGCTGAGCTCCCGTCGCAGACCTCCCATTTTAATACAGACACAAAGCTTCGTTTTACTCTTCAACTTTTTGTACAGATTCTGCTTCTCGATTCCCTGCAAGGATCTCGGCACAGAAACTCTCTGTCAGCTGCTTCCTGCGAGAACAACAGCTTCAGAAAATCACTTCTGCTAAATTATTGGAAACAAACCTAGAGATTGATGATTTGTAAGATGCACAAAGATCAGAAAGACCAAAAATAAAAAAACACTTTGAATTGTGTAAATGAGGCTGAAGGAAACGAGCTGAGATCCTTCTGTTGCCGGGGAAACGTGGAACAGAAATAAAAACTAATGCAGTCATTTATTGGTTTATTCTGCCTCTCTGTGTATATTCCCAATATGTACCGGTCCCTCTGCCTCTTTACACTCCCCCGTCAGTTAGCCTCTGTTAACCTAAGCTAACCGAGTTTTTCTCAGAGATAATGAATTTGCAAGAGAATCGAAAGCATTAGCGATGCACAAGTTTTTACCGCCGAATGTTGAAATGTGAAAGTCGCCTGCGGGCGGATGTAAAAGTTTCTGAAGATTTATTTTTTAGGTTGAAAGTAAAAAAAAAAAAAATAATAGTTTCTTTTTATTTTCATTGATCTTGTTTTATTGAATTGAGCAGTTTTTTTTTTTCTTGTTTTATTTTGTTTTTTGATTGTGTGTCCGTCACATTTGCCTTTTGTATTCCAAATATAGTGTATTTGAACCTCTGTCATTGGAGTAACATGTACAACTGTAAATCAAAAAGAAACAAAAAAAAGAAGCTACGATTTGTTACGTGCAATACTTTGTAGAATACTTTTATTTTTCATGCTGTTTTTCCAAAAGGTGGTACTGACCTTTGAAGTAAGATGATGATTATAATGATGATGATAGCCTGTGAAATCTTGAAGAAGACAATTTGAATCTTCAGGGTCCATTTGAGTGAAAGCGCTCTGCAGTGTGGAACTAAAACCAAAATGAACCACTATTCCATCAGAGATCGTGTGGTTTGAAATGCACTGAGAATAAAGTGATGACGAAACTTTTGTCACATCAAACTGAACTTCTTAGCAAAACGCTGTTTTTTTTAAATTTTATTTGTGTGACAGACTGCGAGTTGTAGTGAGTTTATGAGGGGAATGAAACTCAGTAACACTGCCACTCACCCCCCTGCCACCACC